TGAGAAACTGTGTTGGCGGTTAGTTAAAACTTAACTTACCGTAAGAAACTTAAGAACCTGTAGATTTTAGGTTCTAAGTTACGGTCTTACGGAAATTGGGAGCGGTGAGAGAATTAAACTTGCCAGACTCTCGTTTTTGTATTTCTTAAAAATAAATGAAAGCAAACATTTTGGTTTGCATGAATTTTTTTGATGCGGCATTTTAGGCGGCGAACTGTTAAACAGCTGGAAAAGAATATACAAAAAAAATATTTCCGCTCTTAGTTTAAGTTGACGTGTTGAGTAATCATTGATGATTTCTTACGGTAAGTTAAGTCTAGACTAACTGAGCTTTAACGCCACCGCCAAGGCTGCGACGCCTAATAATGGAAAGTAAATGTTAGGATATATATTTGAAAGTAATGCAATCTTTACTACATATGCATATATGTAATTTATTTAATAATATGTATTTTAATATTACTCGATAAGGCCAAAATAGATCGAATCCCTCTCATTCGTATCAAGTTTTGCTTTGCTTCAAACAAAAAAAAAATGTATTAAAAATTTTGCGAAATACTTGAAGAAAGTGGCTGTAAGAAGTTTTTTTCCTCTCCTGTAAAATTTTTAAATTGGGTATTAGCAACTTTTCACTCTAAGCTAACGATATGCATGTATGTACATTAGGGCGGGTGAATTTTTTTCGACTAAAAGCGTATAGCACGGGAGGACTTTACGTGTAGCTCTACGCAAATTTCCCGAAGAAACCAAGGGTCTAAAATCAATTTGGAGTTTGCCAAATTGCGAAAATAGGTTTCTTTTACTTAGCATTTTGCTGTAGTGTCGTAGAGAAGTGCTTAAATTTGATATATCATGGCTGTAAGGGGTTTTTCGGTATGCAAAATCCATTTCTGTACTTATCTTTTTCTTAAAACTTTCGCTGCAGTTCGCAACAGTGAAAATTTTGCATCTTACATGTTAAAATAAAAAAATATACATATTTTACTTTTCCTTGAAAATTTTTTTCATACCACTAAAATTTTATACAAAATATGTACATGCATACACATGTGTGTACCCTGCAAACCATTTTTTCAGGGTATTCTGAGCTGTAGAGAAATTTTAAAGAATTCGTTAAGATCTCATCCAATTTTTTGCCGAACTTCCTAAAATTAAATAAACTGTGTACATTTCGATTCTTTTACGAAATTTCGGAAAAAAATCGGTAAAGCAATGAAAATAATCTTTTAATATTCGTAAAAAAATCGTTACAGAAATGAGATACTCCTAAAGATTTCGGGATCCTTTGTTTGCAGGGTACATACTTATGTATAAGCAAATAACGTTTTTTATACATTACCATTTCAATTAAACTTTTTATTAATTATTAACGGTAATTAACCGTCACTTACAAAATTTAGTATACGGTTAATTTTTTAAAAATTCGCAATTGTTGTTTGTTTTTTACTAAAATATGGCTTATATTTTAACAAACACCATAATAATCTAAGTTTCAACTCTGTACGAAATTTCTAAGAATTCTGCAAATTTTATCAAAAACTGCAAACTTTCTAGAAAGATTTTCTAAAAAATTTCGGTTATGCAGTTTTATATCGCATTCAGTTTTAGCATAATAATGTGCACATTTTAATTGTCTTAAAATTCGCGCTGATAGAAAGAAGCATGGAGTACTTTATATGGAAGATAATGCTTAGCACCGCCGGCAAAAAAAATCAACGCGAATTTTAAGATTGTTAGACTTTGCACATTATTATATAATAATAATTTATGAAACTGCATACTAGAAATTTCTTCGTATTGAAAAGTTTGCAATTTTTGATAAAGTTTTGCAGAATTATAATTTTTGTACAAAGTTTGAAATAAATATATATTTGATAAATACAAGCAGTATTTGAATAAAATATTAACACAAAATTTTTGCGCTGAACGTTCTCCATGTATTTTATATGCGAAAAAATGTTCGTAGAAATTGTATAAAATTCTTGAAAATCAATATTTTTCGATCGGAAAACTCGGTTTATCCTGAGGATAGTTTGGGGGACCCGTAAAAAAATCGTTAGTATTAAAAATGGTAAAATAAACAATTGGGTATTACTATTGAGTCTTCTGAAGAGAAACAGAGTTTTTTTATCGATCAAAAAATAGTGATTTTCAAGACCCCTATACCATTTCTACGAAAAATTGCTTTTTTTTCATATAAAACATGTACATACACCTTTTCATTTGATCTTCCGGCTACTGATGAAACAGTAAAACAGAAATAGATAGGGGCCTCACTAGATCTAGTTTTCCGCTTTCCTACAACAAATTGATAAGTTGTATTCTCTGAGTCTTGCAAAGCCCTTGCATGGTGCACAGATTACACGGATTGCACGGTTAAAACCGGTTTTCGTATGGGACAGCTTTGCAAACCGTGCAATCCGTGCACCGTGCAAGGGCTTTGCAAGACTCAGAGAATACCCCTATTGTTTTAGGAAATTTTATGAAGGTATTTCCTCTACACTGGAAGCAACCAGACTGAACAAGCGTGAGGAACAGTTGAAAGCCAAAGAGCGATAAAACTCCCAAACAACAGCTACACCAAAAGCGAGAAGGAAAGGTATTTAGCTCTTGTGACAAGTCACTTCGATGGACGATAGACGACAGATACAAGGTCACCGCGGAAGACTGAGAGGTAGAAAAGCCTGGTCGTGTGCACGATGGGCAATAGGTTCGTTTTGAGCCGGACAAAACATTCGATAGTAACAAGTTCAATGTGGCAAATTATAGCGTTGGAATATCTCCCAAAAGGAAGGAGGCGAGCCTTAGCCAAGCTATTTAAAAAAGCCTATACTCTGGCGACATCTTTTCATCCGATCAGCCTAATATCGTTAGACCTTAAGGCGATGGGGAATGTTTTACGCAGTCTCCCTAATGATAATGCCGTTACACCATGTACAATACGCCTGTCGCACGAGTAGATCAGCGGGTAGAGCACGGTTCCAATTAAAACCTAAAATACGGCATGCACTTAGTGGAGGTGAGGTAGCATTTTGTGCATTTCTAGACATTAAAGGAGTAAATGATAACACCTTACATACAGCCTTCGGCAGAACTATGGAGAAAAGGGGAGAGCTGCCCTAATCCGTAGATGAATCGTGAAAATGCTATGAACCAGACTGTTGGAAATGGCAGTAGGAAACCAAAACATAAACCTGAAGGCCGCAAAACGACATGAGATACTAAGTATCTAATAATGGCATAATGTGCTAAGGATATGCCGACTTAGTCTGACCATGAGATAGTGCGGCACAGTTGGTCTGCATATCAACCACACAGCCATCATCGCTTTCACCAGAAGGAGACATCTTCAAGGAATTCATCCTATAACAGTGGGGGGGATAGAAATAGAAATGTGGCCCGTAGAAATATCTAAAGGTCATTCTTGACTGCAAAATTTTATGGAAGAAGCACGACGAAAACACTATCATTAAAACAGCAAGAACTTTAATGCAGAAAACTCTTCGAAAAACATGGTATTGCAGCCCCTATATCCTGCGGTGGTTGTACAGCATGATAGACTGATGAATAGTAGCGCATGGGGCGGCCATTTTCGACCCGACGGCACTTCACATAGTCATATAATGGACCGCCCCATGAGATTGCCGTCAACTCAAGTATTCTCTTAGTGGTCACTAACTACAACCTAATCAACAGTTGTGTAATACACCTGCAGTGGAGCGTCGCCCGTCAACTGAAGGACAACTTTTTGCGAATGCTGGATAGCGGAGTACCTTCCTACACTCATGTGAGATGATAAGAATCGACAAGCTGATGCGCAGACTGCTACTGGAATAAAGTGCCGGGCTGTGCCCAATCTGGCCGTTCTGGATGACAATATTAGTAGAATGGTAGAGGTATGCATTGCAACCTAGTGAATCTACATATTGTGCCCTCTACTCTTCTCCGTGCAGTCCTACAATCCCCAGAATGCTGTAGTCTCGAAATTGCCTCACAAAGCAACGATTAGGTGCAACTAAAGGAGTAGAGTTGAATCACAAAAGCGACAGATTATTTGGCTAGAGGTCTAGCTTATGAAGTATCCTATGGGTAGAAATCTTACACTCAGCAATGGCTTATGCGCTGAGCTTTCGAACAGCAAGGTAAAACAATTTTTTGAAAGAAAAAAAAAAATATGGGTCGGATGAGAACCCCTTCTTTTGATAACGGCCACGGCAAACGTTTAAAGGACCAAGTTTTGAGTGTATGCACCTGGAATGTCCGCAACCTCAATGGGAAGGGTGCCTTTGGCCGGCTGGCCGATGTGCTCCGGAAGATCTAACCTGGCATTACCGTCATGCAAACAATGGGCTGGACGAGAAAAGCCGAAAATTAAATGCTGTAGACCGTACCAAAAAAAAGGTTCCCCGTATACCTTGGAATCTAAGCAAGTTAAGAAAAGCTATTTCACCTTTTGCATTTTTCGGATATTAAAGTATGATATATCTCCTCCTCAGCGTTGGTCGTCTTGCCGTGGCGAGGGGGCTTAAATGGTGTTATGGTATAATTCACAGCGTGAATTGTATCATGCCTCCATGAACTAAGAGGGAAGCCCGGTATTGCAACCGTCGGAAATATTCCTTACAATCCAAGCTGGAGTGTTTTTGTATTGCTGAATGCGAAAATGTCAGGATTACCGTACCAACACTACCCAAGCCAAGGTGTATAGGCAACCGTGCCGATGGTTGAATGGCCAGAGGGTAGTAAAACAATGGCTGGTCGTGAACGGTGCCCTCCGATGCCCGGGCAAGGTCGGTTGTAAGAAGTGCCTTCTCCTCGCATCCCGGCTCTGCGGACGAGCGACTAAACCCTTCCGGCCTACTCGTGGGATCACATATGGATAAAGAACAAAAAGAACAGCAACAACAAAACCAACAACAGCAACAACGTCAACAGCGTACAAGCGGACTGCAATAGGAAGACTTCAGAGAGAGAGAGAGAGGATCAGCTCCTCAAATCCCCGCAAACAGGTTTGATGGTTGCAAGTACTCCTGGTGGCGCCAGCCATAGTACCCCAGTTGTACGAGCACCAGAAACCAGCAGGGTGGCAGATGCCAGACAAAGTATCACCACTCTGCAAATAGTCAAAGATAGCACCGGAAGTGCCTGCCGTAGTACTCCGGATGACCAAGGCAAGGTATATGCAAATAGTGGAAGCGTACGAAAAGATGCAGACAGATCGTGCAGCCACCGAAGCAAAAAAACGGAACCATTCTCATAATGAGGGCGCCCATAGGGCCCTTACAAAGAAGGCCAAGCGATCAGGTTATGCGGAGTCCGCAACACCCTTGAAGCAACGTAATTTTAGTTACGTCGCCAGAGATCACCTACAGTCGGCGATTATTGACGAAAATAGCAGGGCACCGCTAGCAGTCCAGCAGAAATGGGTGGAGATTGAAGTGAAGCTGTCGAGCCTCGTAATGAACTACGTACTCGACAACCCCGATGGTCCTCACCCAGAGTTCGACTCATCGGAATCCCTACGGGGATACCGGGTAGTCAAGTGCGCGGGCCAGTTCTCCCTGGACTTCCTTGCTGTATGCGTCGCTAAGATCAGCGACACTTTTGTCGGCATGAAGCTCAAGCTGATAACAGCTAAGGACATTCCAAGGAGGCCACGTGGGCGCATTTGGCTGCCGCCGATGGACGAACTAGGCGAAAAGTTGCTGCGATGTATTAAGCTGCAGAACAAAGATATACCTGCGGTTGAGAAATGGGAGCTTATAAAGGTTGAAGAGCCGAGGAAGCCTTCAAATAAGCCCATGATGCTAGCCATTTGTACGGAATCTTTAGAAGCCTTAGAAAAGGCAGACTACCGGCTTCGCTTTGGTATCCGTAAGGCCATAATGCGGGTTTATGGAGCTGGTGAGCTTCGCATGCGTGTAAAGCTGACGGATGACCCTAAACCGGAGAGTTAAACTAGCCCAAATAAAGCTGCAGCACTCACAGTGTGCCACAGATAATCTAGCTGTTCTCCTCAGTGAGGAGGATATAGACATTAGCCGAATACAAGAGTCCTTGGTCAAGCACGAGGCAGTCATGGGACTAAATATAAAGAGCTACCAACTCTACAATAAGAACAAGGTGGGTAAATCGCCGGCCTGTATTCTTGTCAAGAACGGTTTAAATACAAATGTATTTCTAATTTCAGCACAGCAGACACAACACTTGTTACTTTGGAGACCGCCGGACAGCCTATTGTTGCATCATAAATGGCCCGTTATAGGGACAGGGCGCCAACCAAAATCAAGGATATAATACTCAAAAACCCCAGACAAATCATTGTTGTCCAGACTGGCGTAGTACTACCGAGAACGTTCGAGGTGAGTCTCTATTACACTTCTTATTAAATAGTAACTTAAGCATCTGCAATAGCGGTAATACACCTACCTACCTACCTTTATATTCCCCGAGTTAAAACCGGTTTCCTGGACGAGAGGAGGTGCTGGATCTAACGCAGTTGTCAGAGAACGACAGCGTGTCTGTAGAAGAGTGAAGAGTATCTGATAGGCCTTCAATGTCTGATCACCGTCTGATCCCCTTTAATCTTCACGGAATTTCCAACACCCCCTCAAAATACAGAAACCTCCACAGGACTAATTTTGAAAGATATATGTGTGTTGTACTTAAGCGTAAATTAAGTAAGGGTCCATTAAACACAATTGTCACTACAGTTGAGGACCTTATAATAGAGTAAATAAAGTAGCAAAGGTTATGAAGAAAGCGTTTGAAAGCTGAACTCCAGTGAGTACCGGTAGAAAGAAATCCCCACCCTGATGGATTAGGGATCTCAAAGCGCAAAGAGATAAAATTTGGAAAATTTTCAATGATTGCTTTAGAAGTGCCTTATAAAAGCGCCTTAAGATCATATAAAACAGAATTGAGAAAATCTAAAACTAAATCCTGTCAATCATACTGTTCTTCCGTAGAGAACTCTAAAAACTCAGCCAGGCCCACAAAATCCTATCGAAAGAACACACCAATATCACACTCATTAAGGGAGAAAATGAGAACGAATACAGCTAGTTATTCTTTAAACTCGTTAGTCAAGTTTCATTTCCCGGGATGTATTCGACATCCATCCACGCCAGGGTCAATCGAACCCGGTTCTTCAAGCAGTAGACTGTTGAACTCGATCGTGAGCTACGAAAGGATTGTTTGCGCTATCAACAGCTTCCCTTCCTTCAAATCCCTTGGACCAGATGGCATTCTCCCAATAATGCTGCAGAGGGTCAAGGCGGAGATAGCCCCATTCCTAGAGACCAAGTTTAAGGCTACTATAACCTTGTTCTACATTCCTAAAAGCTGCAGAAGCGTAAATGTACCCTTATACCCAAGCTAGAAAGGAAAAATCGCGAAACACCAAAATATTGGGCGGTGTGCTATTACCACTGCTATGTTGTAATAGCAGCTACAGGCCCATTCATCCTAACCGTTAGCGAAATCCTATTTACAAAAACTTGTGATATGGATGTATACTGCGACCATAAGGCCAATCCTAACATACGGTGGCCCGGACTAAGCAAACAATATGTCAGCAAACTAAGAAGCATAATAAGGGCAACAATCGCAGAAGTAGCAGGTCCTGCCCGGCCGAAGCGCTAAATGCCATGCTCAATTTAATCCCTATTGTTCTACACCTAAAAGAAGTGACTGTGAAATCGGCGGTCAGACTCAGAGAGTCAGGCCTTTGGTGGACTAGGCACTACGGACATGGCTTTCTTATAAATCAAATGCAATTAAGTAGGACGAAAGACTATATGGTAGGCAATTTGGACTTCACCTGTATCATGCAAGTGTTATTTCCATCCTGAAGGGACTGGTTAAAATACCGCGACGCGATCTCTCTATACACCGACGGTGTACCTCTGTCTATGCGAATAGAAAATGATGCAAACATTTTCCAAGCGGAAGTTTTAGGGATCCTTGAAGCCCGTAAATCCGAGTCGTGTACCCAAATCCAAGCTAGTTAGGCAATGAAGTGATGCTGTATTCAGTGTCTCAGTCAACTACCGTCTCTTTTGTCTGGATTCTCGTACATAGGAACACAGAAGGCAATGAGACGGCCGATGAGCTGGTGAGGGCAGGCGCCGGTTTGAATGAATCTAAAGTGGTGGCACTGGGTGGCCCCTTGGAATAGTCCAAAGAGAGATTACTTCGCATTTCCTTAAACTAGCTAAACGCAAGTGGTCAGATATACAGAATTGTAAGATATCGAGAAAACTATGGCCTGACTTACAACAGGACAAAAATTTTGGACCTGCGTGGCACATAAATGCCAGAGGTAATCAGAATTGTAGCAACCATCACGGGGCACTGGCCCATAGGAAAACATGCGGCAAAAATAAGTCTACCCCATAATTAGATTTTCCGCAGCTGCCAACTAGACGATAGCGAAGAAAGTGTCAAGCATTTCCTTTGTGAATGTCCAGGCCTTTCGAATATTAGACACAATTAGACAAACACCTGGTAGCACAACTAACCGCCCTATCAGAAGCTACATAAGCGAAATCGGCAGATTCATTCGAGAATCCAAATGGTTCGACCTAGCAACATAGGATGTGCATAGACAAAATACCCCCCATGGAACGTGCTTCAAAATGGCACAACAACGCGCTAATTGTATCTTGGACAGCGACTAGGAAGCACTGCAACCAACCAACCAATAATATATCTACGTTTTTTTTCCTCGAGGAGGCAATTTTTTGCACCAAAGTTTATTGACCTTAAGGGCCAGATCTGAGTTCGTACCGCCTTAACGTACCGCTGTAATGTGAGTAAATTAAAGAACTTTTAAGACAGCGACACCTAGGTTCGGCCAAAACAAAATTCTTATAAGGTGATGAGGCCTAATGTTGAGCCTTGCAACGTCTACTAGAGCTGCCATATGAAAAAGCGCGAATTCGGTGTAGGATGTGTGATCGGAAAGTGCCGTCGTCTTCAAGGCAGGCCGTCTATACGTTTTTAGCCCCCATCTACCATTCCTTCACTTACCTTCCTTGCTTGGAATTCTTAACTGTTTGCAATAACTTGAACTTGGCTTCATTGGTTTTAAATTTTCACAATGCCTCGCTTTAACAAAAAGTGAAAAAGCGAGAGCACGCACTGCATTTAGGTTAGAAACAAGCGCAAGTTGTTGGCCATTTGCCACCTGACTGTCCGTCATTGCGCGCCCTCAGCCGCTACAATTGTAACTAACTACTTACTACCTGCGTTTTGACTCATTAATCCAAAGCAAGCGCGCCAACGCATACAAAATGAGCGAAACCAATAGCGGCGGTCTAGCTAGCTAGCGGCCCTATGTAAGTACGGGTGACAAGTGAAAATACGCGCCACAATTTAGCTGAGAAGAATGCGTAATTTTTCTATTCCTTTCTTTGCACTTTCGAGGAATATTGTATAAAAAAAAATGTTGAAAATACTTCAAAAAAGAAAATAAAAATATAAAACACGTACAAATTTACAAAACGATTTTTTATGATTTTTGGCAACAGACAACGAAAGTAACCAGCCATAAATAAATTCCAAAGGTTTCATGTACATACGAGTAATAAGGTGATTGCAGGGTGAGATTCGAAAAATAATAATTAATTAACAATTTTTTTCTTGCAACTGTTTAGGAAATGTTAAAACGTTAAAAAAAAAGTGGAAATGAAAATTACCGTTGCCGCATTGGGTGCTTGTAGCTGGACGCGCTGTTCACAGAGAAATACGAAAGTCTGCACGTATTTGATATGCAAATATGCGTAAGTATGTATGTACAAAAGTAAGTGTGTACGAAAGTGTGCAGACCAAAAAGAACATCAAAGCTTTTCTACAAATTTGTACACGCTTCTGTTACTTATGACAAATTTGCTAATTGAAAGTGAAAGTTAGATTTATTAGCGAAAGAAGGCAGGCGACGGCGCATTATTATAAAATCTATTAACTATCTTTAGTGCGACGTCGACGCACTCGGCGAAACACAACGGGCTTACCTAGCAAATATGTAAAGCTTAAAACTAAAAGAATCGCATAATGTATAAGAGAAGAATTACTTTGTTACTTTTTGCATAGATTTTAGCTACGCTTGCAACAGCTGCTGCACCAACCGGCCGCTGCACAGCTAAGCCTTAAATGCATATTGTTGTTCCCACCAGCGCAGCGTTGCTAGCTGCAATCACATTGACCATATATGTACGCACATTCATTCATTCATTCATTCATTGCTTATCACGGCTAAACAAATATGACTAATTATGGGGGAAGCAGTTGTGGCAGTCGTCGTACGCTGCAGCAGCCGCACACCAAATGTACACAATTACCGCTAATGCAATCGAAGATGTTCATTTGTCGCTTAAAGTGGTTGGCTATCAGATGCTCAAGAGGCCTAAATGCATACACACATACCAACCAAAAGTCGTATATTTCGATATATAGTATTTTCCGATTGCCAGTGGCCGATCCAGAATGCCATATTTGTTTAGTTGGCAGAAACAAGTTAATTTGCTTACATCGTACCCAGTAGACAAGAAATTGGCATTGGAAAATAGTTTTGCCATTGCTGGCCGAAGAATATCGAGTTCTCTCCCCCGCAAAGACGGAATTTTTTCAAAAGAAAAAAGACATTATAACATAAAGGGGTTTCATGATTGTATTTATACAGATCTAATCACAATTCAAGAAATCAAATTTATTTACGATTTTCAACGCTGAGCTGAGGTGAGATGAAATGGAAGGAGGTAAATTTACCACCCCCAAACTCACCACATCTCACCTAAACCCACCACACATAAATTCGGGACACCTTAAGAAATCGAACTGAAAAGTGGAAAATTTTGATGAAAATTTTTGGTATTTCTTGAATTTTCCTGAGTTCAATATGAAATTGAAAAAATTGATTCTGTTGGTTTTTGCTGTAGAATGAACTATATTTTTATAAAAACATTAAAAAAAAATTGGTATGGAAAATTTAATCAAAGGAAAGCAGTATTCATATTTTTGACGCTGACTGTATATCCTTTTCTTTATAATTAATTTATCTTAATCTTTTTCCTTTATATTTATCTTTACTTTTATCGTTATCCTCAGCCTCATATTTTTCCTTATATTTATTTAAATTTTTACCTTTGCGTTTATTTTCTTCTTCATCTAGTACAAATTCCGCTTCACCTTTGCCCTTGTATAAGTAAAGCGTTTAAATTTGCCTTGATCAGCATCTTTGCTTTAATCTTGTTTTTGTTTTAATTTTTAAATTTTCTCTAACCTTTTCCGCATGTATGTATGTACTCACCTTTACTGTCATTCGTGTATTAGTCTTAATCTAAA